GAGGATAGAAACATTCTTTCAACATGATATTTTTGTCTTTAGCAGGGATTACGGTTTTATGAACGATTATATCTATATAAGGGTAACATATATAAATTGGGTCATCCCCAGTGATCGAAGTTAATTATCTGGAAAATTAAGTAAATAGAATTTTGCACGGGTCGTCTTTCTCTATACTGAACAAACTGTTCTGGAGATTTTATGTTCATTATAGAGTGATTTCGTGTTCATTATAGAGTGATTTCGTGTTCATTATAGAGTGATTTCGTGTTCATTATAGAGTGATTTCGTGTCCGAAGTGCAGAATATACACGCCCAATTAAAAACAATAATACTATCAAAAGCAATATTTTTCACATTTCACTCTCGTTTATATAAAAATGCCATAATCAATCATATCATTTTATTAAACCTTGCATATATCAAGATTATACATAATTGATGCAACATAAAAACATACTCCCAACCTAATAATTAAAAGTAATTGTACTTTTATGTTTACCTTTATTATTGATCTTTACACCACCGCACTCGATCATCACCTCACTATTCTCTTCAGTTTCTATAATAATGCTTTTTGTTCGGAAGTTATCTTCATTGGTTTGGAATTTTTCCATCATGATGACTTGATGATCTTCTTCACGAGAATCAACAGCCATCATATGTTGATCCTCCCCGACTTTGTTATTCAAAAAATCATTATATGAGGAAAACGATGGTCCTGCTACAGGAGGTGTAGTAGTAGTAGAAGTATCCTCGCTGTAGATAAAATCTTCATTTGGCTTCTTTTTTTTCTTATTGTGGTACTGGCCGGAACGGGTTTTTACCCGCTGCCAAACATCAGGATGATGACTAAAAAAATGTGATTTCGCTGTACTTGGGTTGAGAGGCTCGTTGTATGCTTTACAACATACTGAGCATTGTCTTGTTGTCTGCGCTTCGTCAAGAAACGGAAAGTATGACCACACATCGTGTTTTTTTTGGGCTGTCATTTTTAATTTTCAAATCTTTGAAAAAATCCGTGTTAAAGAAAGTTGTTTAATCAATCAAATATGTATTTACAGGGTCCTAAAGCAATCAATTGTAGACAATCGTAGATCGATCAAATGGTTATACATATTTGCATGAGATCTATAAAACATATAAAACGGGAAATGTCATTGCATATTATCGCATATTATCGTTATGTTGTCATTGCATTTATTTGTATATTGTTTATATTAGTTGGAGAACATGTCATATCACATAACAAAATATTTTTTTCACAGCAAAAGACAAACTTATAACTTTTTATATGAATTTTTGAACTTTATTATA